TTGGACATTTACACATAGATGCAACATTGTTCATCAACATTTCCTAAACGTTGCTGGAATATCTTGTGTTACTTGGGGTGTGATTGCACTTGTCTGGCTCTGCACATAGGACGTACAAATCCAGGACGACGAACCTTTCGAGGGCGTGTTACAAAGGGACGCGAAAACTGCATATCGAACCGTCGCCGAAGCGAAACCAGAGGCGTGGAAAAAGTGGAACTCGATTACAGCACAGCTAACAGGCGTTCTGGCCAACCATTCGAAGGCTCCACCAAGGCATGGAACATACTCTTCCTGTCTTTAAAGTCCAAAACGGGAAGGTCTTGGCTGCTGAAGCATAAATACTTGGAAGGTGGAAGGAAAAATATGTGTAGCTCTTTAACCCACCCACGGCGTACTCTGAAGTTCCCTGCTCGGAGTCCATCAGCGCAGAGAATAGTTCTCCTCTTGGAAGAAGTGCAGCAAACGATGGCTTGCTTGAAGAATAGAAAGTCTGGCGTGGGTAAAATCCGGGCAAAGGCCCTGAAAGCAACCGACACCAATGGATGCTATGCTCTCGGTTGCATATGGTATGTCGAATTGGATGGGAATCGGAGACAGCTCATATGGATTGGCCTGATGTCTTGAGGTCTAAGGTTCGCCAAGCAATTAGACTAGCAAACAGAAAACAGATTTCGAAACCGCCGAAACTTCCGAAACTCGGGAGGCGTGTGGGAGAAGTGTCCAACCAGCGCAGAAGAAAAAATTAGGATTTGGGTTTTGCAATTTGTACGAAAGTAATTATTGATAATTATCAAGCTGAAGGACTGGATCCAGTATATGTGCTTTTTTCCAAAATACCTGTCCAGTATCTTCAGAATCGACTCCATGGGTATTGGCTGGATGTGAAAAGTTCCTAGGTGATAATATCTGCTTTCTCCGAAGTGCACAATCGTTTGGTGTTCAAATTCATGATATAATTTAATATGTTCTATCGCTTCTTGCCGTGGTTTCTCAGTCACTTCAGTAGACCATTTGCAAGTCAAATCCAAACTTCTGTGGGCAGAAGTCCCTCCGGAGTGATGACTGGAGGGTCTAAATTTTCCTCTTCCAGGAAGCGAAGGGGAAAGAGGACCAAATGCCCCTGGATATCTTCTAGAAGACGTAGGGCATAATCGGGATCCCGTACGAGTAGAGGGATTTCTTCCGACAACTCCTCCAAATCGCGGAAATTCCTGGCTTTGTCCGTCGGAATCACCGGGAAAACCTGGAAGGATATTTTAGAAATTGCCTTCCTTAGTTCTTACTGCTGAAGGTTTCAAATCTCTCATGAGTCAATACAGTGTCGTAGATGGAGGTGTTAGATGCCGCAGTTTGCAGCCAGGTGTCGGCATAGAAGGATTCCGATTCTGGGGCGCTCAAATGTCTCCTCCTCTTCTTCTTGAGGAGACCCAAATGTTCTCGGAATAGGCGCTTTCTTAACGAACTTGCGAAGTTCCCTTTCCCATGGACTCTGTGCGAACTGTTCCTCACATCCTTTAACGCATCGAAATAGAGCGATCAAGTGAGGCACGTCATGTACAAGGTTCTAATCAATATAAAGAATCCCGTGAAACGAATCGAACAGAATGTGGAAGTGACGTCTGACCTGAAAAACGCAAGCCAATTCTGAGTCTCTGGTTCCCAACAGGCTGCGATCATTGATGTTTGCCGAACCGAGGATCACAGTTTCATCGTCCACTATCATCAACTTCGAATGAATGTAAATCAGCTCCGTCACCTACAGAACAGCTCTTCAACTAAGTCATTTCTTTCCCAAAACGGGGAAGTTGGAAGAAAATTGAAAACCCTTTGGATTACCACACTCCTTTGAAGCCGCTTAAAAGTCCGCAGACTGAAGAAGTTGATGTATTGAGAATGATCCTGAATTCCAGCTGCTCTCAGTCGGCTCAGAAGAGAATTCGCTCCTTTCGAGATGGATAGGTAGTTCCAATGAGTTATGGTCTGAATGGGTTTCCCTACATTCCCCTTCGTGATCTCTCCTGGAAAGGCTGGTAGGAGCGGAAGTACTACGTAAACCCGCAACTCCTCGCCCTTCCTGGCACAGCAATATTTCTTCGAATATTGGAAAATATTGGAAAATTTGAATCTATCAGGCGTCACATTTTTTCTCACTCGTGAGCCCGAAGAATGCGCTGGAAGAGGGAATCCGCTACTTTGTTCTGCACGATGCTTCCAGGTCTGGTGCTGATGAAGAACTGGCATTCCATGTAAATGTACTTTTTGGACTGGAGTATGGATTCACAGTAAGCTTTGTGGATGCTGGATTCCGTCTCCAGTGTCCCCATGCTCCAGCGGCTTCCACTCCTCAGCACCTTCATCATTCGGGTACACCATGACTCCCGCAAGGTTGAAAGGGCAAAATTCGAGGAAACACATGTCAAGTAGGAAATACCTGGCATGAAACTGTGGATGCGGGAAAATGGGAGGGATTCTCGAAGGCATCTATGCAAGAGTAGCTCTTCGGAATCAAGAATGGAACGTCTGGGTTGTAGTATTCTGACTCCTCCTGTGTGGTTGAAAAGGTCTTTTATTTCCCCTTTTCGAAGGAGAAGACGAAATGTATCTCCTTCCGGAAAAGTACCTTGAGCACATTCCAGCGCTGAATGAAGTGACGAGCAGCGTCCCTGGCGGCACGACCGTGTATTAGGGCAGACAGATCGTGCCATGGCATCCTCGGAACCACGTTTCTATTGATGTGGTCTCCAGAAACGAAACATGAAACTAGCATCATCGTCCAAGAAATGGAAACCTCAAAGCATGAAGCGCGTGAAGTACGCCGTCAAAGAAGGTCAAAGCCATTTCATCGTTTTTCAGCCCTAGTAAAACCAGTGTTTCACGAAAAAGAGGATGTAGATTTGGATTGCTCATTCCTTTTTTCCTTTCCTCCCGAGTGGATCCTTCCTTAACTCCTTAACTTCCTTAACTCTAAGTTGGAGGAAAAGGGCAAGGATTGTATGGAAGAAAAATAAGAAAATACTCAGGTATTGATAGAAATAGACTCGGCAAAGTTGGAATTCAGCACCGTCTTTCACCCTGGGAAAATCTGTCGTGGACTAACGGGTTTGGTCTGCTGAAGGAAGCTGTAATGAATGATGAATAAGCGCAGACTCCAATGCCAGCAGATGAAACTGACGCTGGAGTCGAACGGGAAAGGCTGGCAAGCTGGCGCCCAGCACGCAACGAGGGATTTCCCATCGTCGCTGCGAAAAACTCCCAAGGCCAGTAGAATAAAAGTACAATATAAAAAACAAAGTACGTCCATTTTCGATCCAAAATCCTCATCGTGGCCAAGTTCCCAGTCGATCACATCAGCGACTATGGTGTGATTTCGATAATTCCATCATATTTGCCCAAACCGAGATGAGTCCAAATGTTGCTCATTTCCTTTCCTTAGCAGAGAAGTATGTCAAACCTCCGAAGATCAACTAGTAGTCGATGCAGTCGCTTCACAATATCTGGCATTTAAGTAAGTACTAATTTGCACTCTGTTCTTTCTTGAAAAAGTGATTCGAATGAAGGGTTTTGACAGCACTGCAGAATTCAAATTTATTCTTAGTGTCGAGGTATTGATTGGAGAACACGAAAAGTGTGCATTCCTGGAAGGGCACAATTGATTTTATTTTGATGACGATTGAGGCGGTAGAAGCGACGGTAGCAATTGCCAGCATCCGGGAAATGTTTTTTTTTTTCCGTGGCGTAAATCGCCATATTTTTCGCTAGTTTTCTGCTATCGAATGTCTTTCGACATAGTGCTGTCTTAATGATTTCAGGTAGGTTATCCGGTAGTGAAAGTAAATGGGTGCCGATGGAATTTGGAAGGGCGAATAAATATTCCCAATTAGACGGAAGTGTGGGAATCATCTCCCCTTGCAGATGGATAGGCCGGCGCGGGGCAAGAGATTGGGCTGCCCGCTCGCCAGATTATTGAACAATTAGACTTCTTTTATTTAAAAAAAAATGTGAGCGGTAGGGCCAAAACCTTCTGCCAAGAAGACTGGGCACTCTGTGGCGGCGCCTTTGATGGGGAAACCTCCTGCCCTGGTGTTTGGTCCCGGAACTACGCAGAACTCACCAATGGGATCATTGGATTGGAATGTCGCGTGAAATGTGGCTGCCTCTGGATGCAAGTACTGCGCCTACGTACCATGCCAGCGAAATTTGGCCAAATCGATGGAGATGTTCCGTTGCATCGGTTCCCCGAGGATCCGGAAAGGCACACGCATGTGCTCACCTAGGGCTTTGCACTAGGCCTATGGTCATGGCTTTACATATATGTAACAGGCGAATGAAGTAAAATGCTGAGTAACCTCAATGACCCTAACGAAAAGGTCAACATTTTCGTGTCTCGGATTGACAGGCCTGTTGGAATGGGATGACTTCAATTTTGAAGGGACAAAAACAGGCTGAGGATAATTATCTTGCAGCTTCGCTTTGGATTTACAGCCGTACTACACTCTTAGAAAAAGGGGAGCAATTTCTCTAAATAAAAAAAAAAGGGAGTAAAGTCGCTAACTCCAATTTCACTCCCCTTTCACTCTGGGAAAGGAGCGAATTTGCCCCATCACCAAGGAGTAAAGTTGCTCTCCTCCTCCGCGAGTAAAAATGCTCCCCTCTGAAGGAGATAGGGATGTCACGCAAATACGCAAATTCTCATATATACTGTGTGCCGTTTTCGCTCTCGATTTTTTCAGTACAGGCGTTGATCTACATCTGACTGTACTGATTACAGTTCATGGCAGAGGATGGACCACCTCTTACGGTTCCATGAAGTGTCCGCGATAACAGTTCTTCATTTCCTCGTTCTCCCATCAAGTTGAGAAAATAGTAGAATTGAGGAATTGGATGGCGTCTATGTATTCTAGATCTCCTGAGGATGAAACTCTTGTTTGTTTCAAAAGGGTTCTCATAGGAATATGAGCTTGTTTATGGCCTAGGCTCTATGAATCTGTCTTGAATATGTGGATAACAAAGAAGACGTGTCCGTGTTTATTGATTCCTATAATGAGACTAAGCGAGACATATGACCAGGTACTAAACAATCCTGCGAGGGATGATTCCAGGGAAAGAAGGAAGAGAACTTTTGTGCACTGTGCGAAAAACGAGAACCTTACCTCTATCTAGTGGCCTGGCAAAGAACGTAAAGGTGTTCACTTCAATACAGCGATGAAGGAGCACTTGGTGAGTAATATGAGGGTACATTTGAAAAGCCCACAGTGCGCTCACTTTTTACTCCCTAAACGTTCGGAATTTTCGGTAGCGCGGCCTGCGGCCGCTACGCTGGCCGTGTGATATATTAAAAGTATACCAAGATTTGTATGGCCTAAAATGGCATAACTTTGTAGGCCTTGCGTGTTAGGCCGCAGGTGGAGTGACCATTCACTACCGCTTTCGGTCTCTTTCAATTTTTATGGTCTAGCCTATGGCCCAGAATGGTAGAGTCTTGAAGGCCTGGCGCTTTAGGCCTTGGATTGCCTGGAATGGCATAGCATCGTAGGCAGGGCCGGATTAAGGTTATGAGGGGCCTAAGTATGAATTGCATATTTAAAAAAAATGGAATGGAGGGCCTAAAGTAGGGCCTAAAAATATGAGGGCCTAAGGCTATAGCCTCCTTATCCCATGGGTTAGTCTGGCCCTGATCGTAGGCCTCGCGCGTTAGGAGTGACGGCCGCCACAACTTTCGGTCTCTTTCAATTAAAGTATTAGATATTAGATTAGACTAGATGTTCTTGGGGTCCATTTGGGTTACTTTTGGCTTCTATTAATACTCGCACACATTGTTGCTGGCAGCTAAGCCAAAATGTTCTCGGCAAAAGATGGAATTGCCATTGGGATTCAGAGGTCTCAAGTTCATGAAAATAATGGAGTTCGTAAATTACCAAAAAATAAACTGATTCCTTGCTAAATAGGCAACCTACGCAGCATGCATCGTCTTGCAATTCTGTCTGAATTCAAGAATCCTAGCCCCCCCCCCCGGGGAGATTCTCCAAACATTGTTTTCCCAACTCCTCTTCATGGTCTTCCACCAGCCATGTCAATCAGTCACGCGCAATAGAAATGGCGTCAGACTTCAGGCGCGAATTCGTTCAAGAGACACTAGCGCCCTGCTCCAGGAAGCGTTGACGTTAGTTCGAGAGCCAGCCACCAGGGCATAGACCGCCATTGCGGTTACCCTGCTTTCGCGCAGTGTCCAGTCTTCTTAGTAAAAGGTCTTTGGGTAGGGCTACCTTTGTAGGGGAGATGGAGTTCGGCGAAATCAGCAACGATGAAATTGGTGTAGTCGTGGCCAGGCCAGAGGTGGACTTGCTTCTCCGGGGGCTCTACCCATTTCTTCCTTTCTTCCTTATTCTCTTCATCATTTTTTCCTGCTCCTCTCTCTCCCTTTCCCACGTCGCATTGCCTACATTAAGAGGTGAGAACTGAGGATGCCACAGCCATCTGCGGAAGATTCACATACCAAATAGCAACGCATTCTAACTTAGCAGGTGAAAACCAGGCTTCGATCAACATTTGAACAGATGTCACTAGCGTGGATTCGGGCGATGAATATGCATCCTATTTAGCTGATGCATTCTTTAGAGGGAAGGAGACGATGCTCCTCTTGCAGGTAAAACCTAATACTTGGGTCTGTGAGGTTGCAAGGAAGAGACGTCTGATGAGATTTCGGACGCGTCAATAGGTCTCCTGGAACGAAGCCTTCGTCTCATTTCCTCCTTCATCCTCTCCTTGATCTTCTTTCTCAGGTTTCTCAGTTTTCCTATCTCGCCCTTCTTCTCTTCCGCTTCTTTCTTCCCCTCCTTCTCATCGGTGGTCTCGTCGCTTCCCTCGGATTCACTCTCATCTGCTGTCTGGCCTTGGCTGCAGCGGACGCGAAGAGAAATTCCGTCTAAAGATTGCTGATGCACACTTGCCAAGAAAGGATGGAAAGACAAGAGATGATTCTTTTAATGGATAATTCTTCTGCGGCTAGGGAAATTTCCGATAAAAGAAATCGCGTATTTCAGCTTCTTTCGTTTTGTCGCAAGAGTGATTGCTCCCATGACTTATGCGACAGTTCCCGTACGGAGATGTGAGAAGGAATTGACGATTTCGTGCAAGTTGGCCGATACCGAACACCCCTCCCGTGGCACCTTGCATCGCAACCAGTCCGTGGGTTCCCCCAGACCCACTTTCTCCCAGGTCCACCAGTCTGTCATGACAATGCTGTACATTCGCAGTTTTAATCGTTCAAATATGGTCGCCTGTCAAAAAATCACTCGTGCAATTGTTCAAATTGGGACTACTATTATGCTCAAAACTGGCATTTTTCGAGTGGATTACAAAGTGTCATATGTACCTTAACCCTTTCATGCCTGAATTTTTAGAAAAAGAAACTTACCTCAAACTAACGCAGAGGATAATAATGCCCTCTTACGAGACGTTTACTAGACTGATAAATGAGGCTGTTGTCATCTTAATCTTGCGGGCAGGAACCGGTCTGATGAGTCAATGCTGACCATAGCTCACACGGCATGCATATGATGGATTGATAAAGATTCGGAAAGTTGATGCTTCCAAATGGAACCATCCGGCATGAAAGGGTTAAGGCGTTTGTGTGTCCTGTTTGATTTCAAGTTAATTTAATTGATCCCCGGAAAGAAAATTAAACCCGGACTCTTGACATTTTGCATCATGTGAGTACCTGTGCCGATGGTCGTCCCACCTGCCAAAGCACAGGTCGATGCCACCGATGAATGCCAAAGTCTGATCGATCACCACCACCTTCTCATGGTGTGCCCAATAGAACGCCCCCTTCAATAGCGTCGGGTGCCTCAAGACCTTCCATGGACCTTTTGCACTTCATTTGGGGCGAGTGTGAAACGTGCGGTTGACCCATTCTATTTCCATGAAGATGCTTACCTGAATGTTCTTTCCTCCCTTAGACTTCAATGCCGTCATCGTATGGTAGCTGTTAATGGGGAGAGCCAATCCGACTTCTTTGTACAAGAGGACGAACACCTTCACCCCCAGTTCCTAAATACACCAGAGAAGATTTTCATCGCAGATTGAAGTTGAGACTCCGACTGTCATCTCAGTTTCTCCCCTTTCCAGCAATTAGACTCAAGTCATCAGGGCCTCGCACATGATTTGCGGCAAGTCCCATCGATGCATATTGACATTCTCGCAGAGTTGCGGCATTGTCACGAAGGTGAAATCCCAAGAGCATGAAAGTTACTCTTTCGTCTGCTCACCGCTTTCCTTCCCAGGATGTTGTCGAGCCTCCAATACTCTCCTTGAACGGGTCTCTTCAGATAGATTTCGGGGCTGAGCCACCAATCGCAGATGAAGATGTCCTGCTTTGCATTCTCCAGAGCATCTGCCACTGCGCTCATGTAATCCCTGCCGTCCACAAACCAGACCGCAGGAGTGTCTCTCCTCATCGGTACGAAACTCCCGAAACGGTTCCACTCGGTGAATGCCCTGGCTTCAACCGATCCAGGTTCCATTTAAACGTATTATTTCTTCTTGACATGCAGGGTGGCCCAAAAGTCCTTTAAGTTTATTTTTCTTGCTGATTAACCATTGCAGTCTACATTGACCCAGTAGGGTGATGAAAGGGTAGGAATTACGACGTACCGCAGTTTATCTTTAATGTATATCTTACAATTACTCCAGATGTGTGGCGACGTTTGTGGAGCTATTGACTAGCGCCTCTGCCCATATTCGTTGATAGATTGATGGATCTTTTTTTGAATAGGACTTTTGGCCACCTCGTCAATGAGAGTAGTTGGAGAACGGATCACCTGTCGTCAGGGAAGTTTCTAAGAGGTACTGGAACCAATCGAGAAGAACGCGACCGCTGTGGTCTCGAAATGCCACTGCACTGACAACGAGATCGAACGGGAGATGCTTTCGTGTCGCAATGGGCTATAGGAAGGTCAAAAGGAAGTTTCGACTAACTTGGAGAGGTTCTTGACTGATATGTACTTTTTGAAGGGATAGAGGCTCCGTCGGATGGAGATGTGAAAGGCGGGGTCCATGAGCATGACTCCTTCGAAGCGGCCAGTGCGGGGATCCAGAGACGCGAGCCACGACTCGCGGACCATCAGCCACTTTCTCCCCCACAGAGGAAAAGGGCACAAGAAGTCCGCTGCTCTCAGCATCCTTTCAGGGACCAGCAACATCCGGATATTAAAAAAAAATTAATATTGGGAGCTCAATCCGCATAGAATGGCGGCAACAAAACCAACAAAAGCAGAATTCCCATCTTATCATCATTTATAGAGGCGCGTGACGGTGACATGGTCTGCATGGTCCAAATTTTTAGATGGATAATCGAGTGCATGCGATGGAACAGGCGTGTTGACAAGGGATGGCTGAAATTGAAAAGTTCTCTGGATAAGGGGCTAATGTGCGAAAAGCACAATTCGAGAAAAGCAGCAAAATCTCTTAAGAGCTTATCCGCGACTGATCTGAATTCAGTTTTCAGTTATATAGTATCTTAATATTATTATTATTTGAAATTTGGGACTCACATTTTTCCTTCGAAATTGACAGAATGCTGGCAGAAACTGTTCATGCACATACGCCCATTTTTCATATCCACACTATCAGAGCTTTTCGAGCTATCCTTCCAGTTCTTTTTCCACAAATAAAAATAATAATTTGACAGTGGATTTATCTCAAGGTTAAAAAAAGCATTCCTCCAAGAAAGACGAGGAAAGCAATAGCTTTCAGTAACGCTTTGATGACAATCTTCCTCACAGAAGTACTACAAATGTTTCGTTTTCTTTTCCTTCCTCCCTACAAGCAGCCATAATGAGACAACTGGACACCTGCTCTCCATCTAGCGGGAGTTAGCGTTCCCGAGTTCATGAAAATCGTTGAATATGAATTTCGATCCGTCTGCAACAGCAGCAAAAAATTTCGTCTTCAAGTTTTCAACGGATTTGTGAGTTTTTGCCATATATTTAATCAAGTAAAGTTTCGGCATCGTGTACAGTTTGGTACCAAACGTCTGGCTTCGTGACTATCTCAATATCATTTCTTTGAAGCTGCAGCAGAGGAGCAAGACACGTTAGGAAAATGAAGTCACTCTTACTCGATTTTGACCTCGCGGATTTCAGAAACAGAATGATACTGAAGTATTGGCTTTCTGCTGATGAGAATGAAAACAGAAGCATAGGATTTTTGCCGATATCGATTTTTGCTCGATCGGTCTTAAGCCTAAGGCCGGATCCATACTCGTGCTGTAGAGCATGCTGCATACTATGGTAAAAAAAATAAATGTCAACGTCTATTGAATTTTTAGTAAATTATGCTGTTGCAACATCCGACATGCCGTAGCACGAGTATGAACTCGTCCTAACCAGGAAAGAAGGAAAGAGACAGAGATAACGCGTGCGAGGAACATGAGAATAAATAAAAAGAATAGGGCCTCGAGGATTGTCAGACAGCCCCGAATTGGAAGGAGGAAAGAAATGCAGACGTGCCCAGCAGGCACAGACGATGATAGCTAGGACACCTCGCCTGTATGAGCCTCTCGTTCTTTTTTTTCCTAAATGTGGGTGAGTCTGAAAGATGACTCCAGCATCATCTCCCTCCCCGGCCTCTCAAACAATTGAGGATGACGCTCAATGCGTCAGATCCATGGAATATGAGAACTCAGCTTCACGGAGTCCAAAGAGTGCTACGGAACTCTTTACAGACGAGAGCATGAAAGGAAGTTACTCCTATTTACTTCGCATGGAGTGTGAAGCGATGATTTATGAAAGGGAAATACCGAGAAACGGTTACCGAAGTAACCATACTAAATATATGGACGAACTAGTACCGGTTTCTTCATGTACATATGATTTGTGAAGGCTGGAATCCCTTCCCGAGCCTTTTAATCCATCACAACGCAACTACAGGGCACGAGTCCAATGTAACCTTCAAGGCAAAGGGAAAGGGGAGGGGGGGACGAAGAAGAGATAGAGATAGATAAATAGAAAGTAAAAGCTGGGGGAGGCGGTTGGCAGTGTGACGAGGCAAAGGAAAACTTGGTCTTAGGTCTGAAGTTATAAAAAGGCAGAGTTTCTCCTCAACGACCTCTCACTACGCATCCAGAAGTCGGACCTGTTGGATCTCTTTTTTTTCCCTCCCGATTGACTTCGCTTAGCTTAGCTTAACCCCTTGTGAGTTCACTTTGCTCTGATCTCAGTTGTTTATCTTTAATTTCAAAGTTTTCGACTTCTCTGGCCGGTTTCAGTAAAAGCTAATTGCCCCAGCTTTATTTGTCAGACTTAAATGACTTGCATGAAATGTAATGTAATGGAGCGTCGCATTACGCCAGGCACAAACAAGGGGTTAAGTCTGTATAGTGGAGCATTTGAATTTTGGTGCGCGAGTGTCCTTACGGTGCGGGTGCGGTCATCTGCCCCTTTGAGGAGAAGCCAACCCCTGTCTCCTCGACGCCTCAAAGGGGTGAAGTCGTCGAACTGTGAGCTTAAGCCTAAGGGTGGCGAAAATTAAACGCGAGTAAGACGAGGAATGTAAAAATTTGGGGGGGAATTGTAACGGGAGGGAGACTGTAAAAACACATCACATACACCCGACTGAAAACTGACTCCTTCGCAGTCTTGCATCGAGCGAGATACCAGCGTGGAAGCGTCAATATCTTGGCCATGTGGAGTCCCACATGGGCCTGACCAATTCCTTCGCTGGGAGACTATATCACACTAGGATATATTATCTCACCTGGCGCTCTAGGGCAAACAATGTCGTGGTGGCGGCTATAAATATACTCCGTTGCGCGATCCCGAGCCTCTAAGTAGTAAGAAGTGCAAGTGCTGAATGCCATTGTGTGGATCGACACCTGAATATTTGTGAGTTTTTGTCAACTTAGACTTTCTAAATGTAATATTTTAGATAGAACACATGCAGATAAGGTGTTACGGTTGGCTTAAAAACCAGGAGTACCTTAACTTAAATCGAGATATTTTCAATACATACTAAATAGGCCTAGTCTTAATATACAAAAATACCTAGGATATGCTTAATCCTTCCCTCCGGCATTCCTATCCCAGGAAATAAGGGGCATGTGTGTTTGACAGTTCGAAATTGGGGACAATGTTAGTTATTTTTCAATTCAACCTTTTTAAATGGAATATAATGAATTCATTCAAACAATATCAGTATTAAATTTTTAAAAATGCATGTAGCTGGATGAAAAGGGGGGAGGGTTTGAAGTGAAAGAGGGGTGGTGCTTAGTGGATCCATTAATAAAGGTGGAAGGTTCTTGGATGGAGCCGAAGTGGAGATGGTGGGAGGGGAGGCGGTGGAGCCGAAGTGGAGATGGTGGGAGGGGAGGCGGTGGAGCCGAAGTG